ACATTTGCTTTCAATTTATTCTAATAATGTTTAATTATTTATTAATATCTTGCTACATTATTGATCATAAGTTTAATTGTTGTAGTTTTTATTATTATTATTATTATGTACATTCATGTTTATGTTACTGTTTATTTTATTAAAAAACCAAAACCATACAAGCCAGTCTGTTGAGTGGTGACAATAAATGGGTTAGTCCCAGAAAGTAACTGTCTCTAATCGGACAGTCTTTGGTGCGGTCAGCGCCCTGAGCTGGCAAGTTGTCTTATAAGTGCAAGAAAACGGAAGCATTTTTTCAATAATAATATATTACAGTGTTATTATTTATCACAATGTAATTATACATTTATTACAGTGTTACTAATTTTTTTACATTATTATTATTATTATTCATGTGTTACATTATTATTTTGTTACATTCTTTTAAAAAAAATAGTGTAACATGTAATTACACATTCGTTACAGACTTATTATACATTTATTAAGTTGTAATTAGGCTATATGTTTTCTACAATGTATATTATCTACATTATTATTATTATACATTTGTTACATTACTATTTTGTTACATTTTTCTTTTATTTAAAAGTAGCAAATCTTTTTTTTAAAGTAGTGTAAAAATGTAATTACACGTTTGTTACAGTCTTATTATACATTTATTACAAAAACACATTCAGCTAAATATCTTCTAATTATTATTGTTAGCAACAAAATCTTTAAAAAGATCGAGATACGTGTTTTCGTCCGTATTGGTCTTAAAAAGCCTTACATTTGACTTGTGCAGAAACCATGCCACCATGGTTGTTGATAATTGTTTTTTTTTCTTTTTTGGTATATGAGAACATAAGCAGTGTGTGTGTGTGTGTTTTTGTGTGTTTAGGACAAATCTCTAATGTTAGTTAGTTTTTATTTTTTCAGCAGTTATTGTTGGTCTCCAGCAGAGGTCAGTGTTTTTCAGTTTTATTGGGAATGCTTGATCATAATCATATTGTCTGTGTGGGTCACATCTGTTTACAATATGCATTAAAACCAAGAACTTTACTCATGTATACTTTGTGTATTTGTTACTTGAAGTATGATAATACAGTCTTCTTAAAAATATTAAAATGCTGCAAGAGATTATTGTACAATGAATCTGTACAATCATGATCAGATTATTGTACAGTGAATAAACTGCTAAGATTCATTACTGCTTTGATTTTTTTTCTCAATTGCTTTTTAAGTTGATTCACGGTTTGAGGTTGCTAAACCCAACTGAAAAAAAAAATAATAATCTTGTTAAACTTATAATGCTACATTATTGGACTCTCTCGTTGTTTCTTTAGCGCTGGGACGCAGGGATTTCCCAGAGCAGTACAAATGAGATAATAAAAATTCTAATAGATATATTTTTTGATATTTGACCAAATTCTGTTCAACTATATGTTTTTTAAGATTGATTTGAATGTGTTGGAACACCTCCCAGCAGGACCTTGATATTTCCACAGAAATACAAATAAAAGGTAAATAATTATTCCAGACTGCTGTGGACTTGAAAAATAAATATTTATTTATTTTGGAGATTAAATTTAGTAGTCAAAGTTCGTTGGATGCATTTAACCCTCTGATTATCTTCATTTGTGTCTACACTCATTATCTCTGGGGTCTCCAGGGACCCCAGACAATAACAATTAATTTTGTAACAGAATAATATATATATATTTTACAAATGTAATTTTAGTCTGTTTATTAATGTTTTTACTCAACATTTGTGGTTAATATAGGCTTTTTTTTATTTTATTTTATTTTTTTTTACAAAAAACAGCATTTTATGTCAAATTTACTTTATAAAAGAGCCAGATTTTTAACTTTCATTTATGGGGATTTTTTTTTTTTTGGAAAAATAAAATAAAATAAAAAACTCACTTTAACCACTAGATGGCCATAGACCTCCACCATAAGCTATTTGTTATGTGATTAACTAAAAATTATAAAATCACAATTATAACACACACACAAAAAAATTAGTCAAAGTTTAGGATTTTTTGTACTGACAAAAGTTTTTCAATAATGTTACATTATGTACACAAGCTAGAGTCAAACCTGAGCAAGACTCCAAATGTTGAAGTCTTTAGATTTTATAATTTATTTCAATCATCTGTTTTTTAAATAATTCTACAATTTTAATTCTACAATTTTACTAACTGTTACAGAACAAAAAAATACAGAAATTAACAGTTATATTACATTTTGAGTAAAATGTTTTGAGTGAGTGTGTGCATTGTGAATTTTTTTTTTTTTTTTTGCATTGATGGAAGTGTGTCACTTTATTTTTGTCTATGTGATCTCCGTTGTTTCCTTGTTGTTTCTGATTTTAAGGATGAATTTTGTATATTCACAATGCAGGGTCTCCAGGGACCCCAAAGATAACAAGTGTCGGCATTTTTTTATGCTAACATAAAAACAGATATCATTCCAATATATATATATATATATATATATATATATATATATATATATATATATATATATATATATATATATATATATATATATATATATATATATATATATATATATATATATATATATTGGTAGATCTAGACAGTGTTAAGAGGCATAGAAGTTTTTTTTAAAAAATGTTTAAAAATTCACCAAAAGTCATTTGCGGGTCAAAAAGACCTCGAAGATAACCAGACGGTTAACCAGAACGCTATACAAATAACCCATAAAACACTGGTTATGGTGTATTTGTAATCCCTATAAGCAGCAAATTCACTACCCTTTCGTTATGTTCGTGGCTGAAAAAAGCCACTACTTTAAACTGCTGTAAAAATGTATCAGATAAATATTTTTTTCAATTTTTTTTGCATAAATCTATTAACCGACCTCAGTCCTGATCAAAACTACTAATTTTTTTTTAAAAATTCAGGATTTTAACTCTTTAATTGCCAAATTCATAAATGATGTCACTGATTTGGAGGGGAAAAAACACAAAATGACTTATTTTCAATATAAAATATGATTGTGGACTGGATTTTTTTTTTTACCTTTTATCACAGTCTTGGACATGTCAAAGATTAGAAACAACATTGGTTTTGATGCATTGTTAGTTTTTGTGTAGCATCAGATTTTAACTTTTTCTCCCTCATTTACTGTTCATGGCTGTTTTTGCCCCATTGACTTCCATTATAACCACATTTTTTGATTGCAAAGCCATGACACCATAAAATCATGCATTTTTGATTGTTGATGGTTTTCCCTGTTGGGAAGAGGTAAAATTTGTAATTTTTACTGTTGATAACCAGGTGGAACCATTTAACCCTTTAGACAGGCCTGTGCAAAAAAAAAGCTTAGTTTCTGGCTTTTACATGCAGTTATATGGAGTATAATAGCATATTACAGTGTGTATATGTGTGTGTGGGTGTGCGTGAGTGTGTGAGAGAGTGTGAGAACTCACCTTAATGCGTCTGAGAAAATAAAAATATACACTTCAGCTCTCAAAACTACATGGAGTAAACAAAAACAAAGTAAGTGTATTTATGCATCTGCTGCCTTTTGATGGTGAGAAATGCAGACTAAACAAAAACAAAGCAAGTGGATATAAACGCTTGTCATTTGATGGTGAGAAGAGCAGCAAGCAACATGAGAGAGGGCTTGACTTGTAGTGAAGTTTTAGAGATGATTATGCAGTCTGACCCCTCCAGCGAGCTGCAGGAGGTATTGTCTTCTCACTCTGACCGCAGACTCAGGACAGTCAGATCCTGGTTTGGATGTGGCACCCTCATCATCATCTCAAGCTTCCACTGAAGGCGAGGAGGATTCAGATGATCCTGGATCTGGATGGACTGGGAGAATCTTGAGAGGGACATGGTGGTTCTGAAAATCGCACGACCACTGCGATCATCCCACAGGCAACGTGTGGACTCCCCTCTGGATCTGTAGACGCTGGCCAAAATCAGTAGCCCCATGTTGGCACAGAGATCTGTGGAGTCCACCCCAGTCCAGTTTCTCATTGTGCGGTGCCCATGGAGGTTGGTCATGCTTTGTTTTTGTTTACTCCATGTAGTTTTGAGAGCTGAAGTGTATATTTTTATTTTCTCAGACGCATCAAGGTGAGTTCTCACACTCTCTCACACACTCACGCACACCCACACACACATATTCACACTGTTATATGCTATTATACTCCATATAACTGCATGTAAAAGCCAGAAACTAAGCTTTTTTTTTTTGCACAGGCCTGTCTAAAGGGTTAAATGGTTCCACCTGGTTATCAACAGTAAAAATTACAAATTTTACCTCTTCCCAACAGGGAAAACCATCAACAATCAAAAATGCATGATTTTATGGTGTCATGGCTTTGCAATCAAAAAATGTGGTTATAATGGAAGTCAATGGGGCAAAAACAGCCACGAACAGTAAATGAGGGAGAAAAAGTTAAAATTTGATGCTACACAAAAACTAACAATGCATCAAAACCAATGTTGTTTCTAATCTTTGACATGTCCAAGACTGTGATAAAAGGTGAAAAAAAATCCAGTCCACAATCATATTTTATATTGAAAATAAGTCATTTTCTGTGTTTTTTTTCCCAAATCAGTGACATCATTTATGAATTTGGCAATTAAAGAGTTAAAATCCTGAATTTATTTTAAACATTTAGTAGTTTTGATCAGGACTGAGGTCGGTTAATAGATTTATGCAAAAAAATTTGAAAAAAATATTTATCTGATACATTTTTACAGCAGTTTAAAGTAGTGGCTTTTTTCAGCCACGAACATAACGAAAGGGTAGTGAATTTGCCCAGAGTGTACTGTTGAGTTTTTGAAAAATTTCAAAGCATTTTTCCAAAATATGTGTCAAAATAAGATTTGTCACCAAAAATCATTCCATTTGCTGAAACAAAGAAAAAGTTACGGCCAAATTAAGACTAAAAAATACCCCTTAGTGGCTGAAAAAAGCCACAACAGCACATAAGGGTTATATAACCAGGAAGTGAATGAGTTTATTAGGGTTAAAGTGTAGCCTACGTACGTAAAGTGGGTCATAGCTGCATGCTCTGTCGAGTGTAAATAAAAATTTAACGGCATTCTCTTTTTGCATTAATCATGCCAACAAGTGTGCTTAAAAATGCATTTAGGACCAGCAAGGGTAAGTTTTTATTATTGATTATCTCTCCATTTTAACATATTTTTGTTTGTTGTTGTAACCAAGAGCTGTGACTATTTAGCTTTTGTTGCCAATTAAACTCAGATCCAGACAAATGCCCAACACAAGACAGTATATGTAAAACACAAAGATAATAGATATAAGTATAAAACATTTACCACTTGCATTGCTTAAATGTAAATAGTGATTGAAAGTAAAAGTAAAAAATCTGTTGACTGTAAAAAACAAGAACCACCAGACCAGTTGAGGGATTTGTTTTTTTTTTTTGTTGAACTCAGTCCAAACTTTCAAAGTAGCTTATTGTAACAAGTGGCTAATGTCATTATTTGTATTGATTGTTCTAATATGACATTAAATATTTACAGAATTATCAATAACCACAACAACTATGATGTGTTGCACATGCTTCCATAATGCTTAACGACAAATTTTAATCTCTTTAATGTGAACAAATGCATATGAACCCTGTACCATATGCACTTTTGCATGGAATAATGCAAAGCGAATTTCTCCTAATGATAAATATAACTGTTTAAGTGCACTCCTCTCATAAACACTGCTCTCTCACTGTTTCTCTCACACATGGCTCTACCCTGCTGTGTCACGTGATCGTGTTATGTAACAGCTGGCAAAAGACCAGACTTACATAAAGAAAGCCTGTCTCCTCCCCCATCTCCGTGCAGCGTGCACATAGTTTTTATTGCTCTTTACAATTTGTCATACACTTTTCTCCATCCTATTTTCTGATCAAGGGTGCAGCCTCACATCTCTCTACAGGATGTCCTACAGAAAGCCTCAAACAATTGGTAAGAACGAGAGTTCTTCTGCATTGATGCACATCTTGAAGTTTAACTTTCTGATGTACGCACAGGCTTTGTGATTGTTCGCATGTGTGGGTGTTTGAAGCAATGAGGGCAGTGCACATGCCTGTGTATTCATATGTTCAAAATTTAGTTGCAGTCACAGCTTACTTATGAATAACTGAATTTAAATTTGACTTTTCTGAAACATTGACTTATCTTCATGTATTTGCTTTGTTATTTGTGCATTAGCGTATCAGTATCCCAGTACATGTGAGTGTATAGAGAGGGACTGTTTTCCTAAAGGAATACTTCTCTTTGTAATATCGCTGACTCTCTGCCATTTCAGCTCTGTCATTTGTTGACTTCAATCCTTTGTTCGTTTAGCTGACCCAAATAGTGATGGTTGCAGCATTGATGTATGCTAACCTGTTACTTACTATGGCTATTTCATTTAACATAACTCAGGGTTAACTAATCCTGCAGTTTAGATTGCTGAGGAACTCCATATAAAAGTGACAGTACTCTTTATAAAATTACATTTTATACCATTATCATAATTTTAGATCCTTTGCAATCTATTGTTCATTATGAACAGTTTCTGTTCTGTCAACGTGCCAAATAATCAGATTTTGTAAATCATGTCCATTTTTACAGCGGCTGGTCAGAAAACATACTTCACAAAAGTGCATGGGCTGCCAAGCATCAGTCCCTTGGTAAGTTCGGTAGAGGAGACACCTGAGCCCATCCCCACCACTGTTAAGGGAACCATCCCAACCTGGATCCGTGGGAGTCTGCTGCGGAATGGTCCAGGAAAGTTTGAGTTTGGGAATCAGCAGTGAGTATGACTATTTTACTGTTAATATGGTGATTTATTTTTATCTTACAAGAACATCACTGGAATGTAAGCAAAGAATAGTAAAAGACATTAACTAATCTCTGTTTGGATAGCAGTTAGTAATTAGTTAAACAGCCAATGACATTTGGAAAGGTGTAATTCAGTAATTTGGGATATGCCGTGGTGGAGGTAGACTAAGGCTGTCATTCTAAAATTCGATTTGTGATTTGTTTGATCACAATAAATATTCAGGCTCACTCTTGCTTGTGTACATTTTCCCTCAGCTATAACCACTGGTTTGATGGCATGGCCTTGATGCATCGCTTTCGGATCGAGGAAGGTCAGGTGACATACAGAAGCCGTTTTTTGACAAGCGAATCGTATAAGCAGAACAGCGAGAGGAACCGCATCATGGTGTCAGAGTTTGGCACTTTGGCTCTACCTGATCCCTGCAAGAACATTTTTCAGCGCTTCCTGTCCAGATTTGAGATGATAAGTACGTAATACGTATAAATGTTGAATGTGTGTGTGAATGATAGTAAGGAGGTTAGCTGTGCTGGCTGGTGAAACGCATCTCAATCGGTTTAGAAAATGCAAACATCAGGAATAGTTGTCTGCTTTAAACAGGTTTAAAGCTATCTGTTTCTGAAAGAGTAAGGCATGTATTTAGATGGCCTTGCTCAAGAGCACAACAGGAGTGGTCAGTGGAAGCATCCAAGTGTGTCTAAAGTGTGTCCTAGACAAACAACTCTATGTCTGTAATCATGAGAACACATTGAAATCAGAAACCATAAGCACTCAATTAGGATGAATTAAAGTGACATGAAGTGTTGAGATGGACCTGGCAGAATATTCTGGACACTATAACTAAGAAAATGATAATATGTTGCACAACCATCTTTTTAAGATCAATGCCTTAAAGGAGTAGTTCACTTTAAAAAAAAAAAAAAAAAAAAAACTTTTTCTGATAATTTACTCACCCCATGTCATCCAAGATGTCCACGTCTTTCTTTCTTCAGTCGAAAAGAAATTAAGGTTTTTGATGAAAACATTCTAGGATTTTCTCCATATAATGGACTTCAATGGGAACCAAACGGTTCAAGGTCCAAATGAGAGTTTCATTGCAGCTTCAAAGGGCTTTAAACGACGATGAACAAGGGTCGTATCTAGTGAAATGATTGGTCATTTTAAAAATAAATTAAAAAGGTTACGTTTTATAAGCACAAACGCCCGCCTTGCTTTGTTCTGTGATGAGCGTACATGACTCTCCTGTTCAAGCTCGTTCATCAAAATGAACAAATCTTTTTTCGAGTCATGACTCAAAGGGTCCTAGATAAGACCCTTAATCATCGTCTGGTGTCGTTTAAAGCCCTTTGAAGCTGCACTGAAACTCTCATTTGGACCTTGAACCATTTGGTTACCAATGAAGTCTATTACAATCTTAATTTCTTTTCGACTGAAGAAAGAAAGACGTGGACATCTTGGATGACATGGGGGTGAGTAAATTATCAGCAAAAGTTTTTTTTTTTTTTTTTTTTTTTTTTAAAGTGAACTACTCCTTTAAAAAATTAATAAACAAAACCCACCACTGGATGGAAAAAAAACCATTAAGCTTTCAGTAAGGTAGAAGTGTGACTAAATGCCATCATGAGGTTTGCATTTGGATATGTGGATTACACAACTAAAATCAAACCAAACGTTTGGCTTCACTTTTCAGGGCTTGTACGGCAAAGCCCATGGATAGAGAGAACCCCATTGCTAGAGAGTCCATAAAAGCAACGGGAAAAATATTTTAACAACGGATTTGTTTCAGATTTCAATTCAGATTTGTCTTGGCAAAGCTACAAGAAGACTTACAACTGTCAGACAGGTCAAGTTCAGTTTGAGCCTGTGCAGTACGCTCAGCCATCAGTGCTTCTAATAGGGTGCCGAAGTTATGACGTCACTTATAGGACAACTCGGAAGCTAACGGCGTATGGGTTCCGCACGATCGAAAAGCTATTACAATAGTGAATCGTTGTAAGACCTAAAGAAGCAGCATTGATGATGTATTGACTTATCAAATATATATACATATATGATGATATATTGAGGTATTTTGATGATGTATACACCTTTTGATGATATAACATACCTTTAATAGCTTATAATTAACAATCCCAGGTTTTGTAAATATAAAATTCTGAAAAAAAGCTGAAAATTACTTTGTCAAAATTACATAAGATTAAATATACCTTCAAATATTAGGGTCCTTTTAATCAAAAAGGTTAATCAATCAATCAATCAATCAATCAATCAATCAATCAAGCTTTATTTCTTTAGCACATTTAAAAACAAAAAGGTTGACCAAAGTGCTGTACATTTACAAAGGGCAAATAGATAAAATACAATAAATACAAACAATTAGAAACGATACAACACCAGACAATTTCAACATGCAGCAAACATCATGCTCTCATGATGCTCTCAAAAGCCAAGGAAAAGAAATGTGTTTTTAAAGGTGATTTCAAAACCGTAAGGCTAGGGGCCAGTCTGACATGGAGGGGCAGTTCATTCCACAGTCTCGGTGCAACAGCTGAAAAGGCTCGATCCCCTCTGCTCTTGAGCCGTGTTAAAAAATGTTAAGGTTTTAAATGGCCACCAAAATAAATAAAAGGTATTTTTTTACACTTATTTTTCTCTCTCTAATTCCAGAGCCAACAGACAATGCCAGCGTCAACTTTGTTAAATACAAGGGTGACTATTATGTCAGCACAGAGACAAACTACATGCACAGAGTGGATCCAGATACTCTACAGTCCAAACAGAAGGTATGAATAACCAGTATTTAGTCACCAACCTAGACCAACAACCAGTCATGTCTAATTTAGGAAGGATGATTATTTGTAGGTGGACTGGAGCAAGTTCATAGCTGTGAACGGTGCTACTGCTCATCCACACATTGATCCAGATGGCACGGCTTACAACATGGGCAACTCATACGGAAACAAAGGTTAGGTTCCGGTCTTCTCCTTTTATGCTGACCGATCTTTAAGAGGCGTGATGTTGTGCTGTCATGTGTTTTATAGGGGCTTTATACAACATCATCAGGGTGCCCCCAGAAAGAGACGGTTCAACGGACACTCTAGAGGGAGCCAAGATATTATGCTCTATCGCCCCTCATGACAAATCCAAACCCTCTTATTATCACAGCTTTGGTGAGTGAAGAAGAAAATCTGTCATGTTTATTCTCTTCAGATCTCCTAGACTGTCATTCATCAATCACTATCATGTGTCATTTTATTGCATGTCATCCACTGTATGTTCTTAAAGGTACACCGTGTAACTTTTGGCCAAAAGAGCTGACGCATATGAGTTATTTTAAATGATTCCTCAGGCAAATAGACAGCACTTGACACTATCAATGCTCTGATTGGGGCTGCCCACTTGAAACTTGAACTTTGGCCAGATCATATGACCTGGAGAATGCTTGGAGAGCGTATAGCTTCACGATTTGCACGTGACCACAAGTTTGGAAGAGTCAAGGAAAAGAAAACGAGAAACTGACCTTGTGAGAAAACCGGACAAGAGTCTCACTCAGTCAGGCTTTCACTTAAAGGAGCAATGTGTGACTTTTAGCGACATCTAGTGGTTCGTTTGCGAGTTTGCACCAGGTTTGCACTAAGGGTTGCTAAAACGGGACAAACATCTCGTCGGCTGAGACAGCAGAGAATAGCCAGAGTAAGCCAAGAGTGTGTAACATTGTCACTGTTTCTGTACCACAGTCCATTATAAACCACATCATGAATACTGTCTGTTTACAAAGCCATAGTCAGGTGAGGATCAAGGGTTTTAATATATAATTTAATAAAATAATAATCAGCTGATTGTCTCACAAACGTAACCAGCAGCACATTTCTCCCCACATACTGTAGCAAACCCATAATACAGCGAGGGAGCAGCTATATATTTTTTCTAACAGGGTAGTAATAGTTTAGCTGGCTAATATGAGCTGTTACTGTGGCTGAGCTGGGACGCGTCTGCATGAGTCCAAAGGTCGGAAGTGCGCGCGCTGTTACAATCATGTCATCTCCGCATCCCATAGATACTATTTACTACACACAATAGGCTTTTTTTCTCTGATTTTTAAAATTCTTCGCGATCGACTTTAGTGATAAAAGACTTTAGTAAAAGTCTCTATCGACGGGTTAGTGATTCCTGTAACGTACTGTTTTACGGTCAATGACATGAATACTAATCATCAGCTGTCTCACGAACGTAACAGCACATCTATCCCCAACATAACAAACCCATAACACAGCGAGGGAGAACTAAGTTACATGAAACAATCCCAACTACATATTTTACACCACTCACAAGGGAAAAGTCACTACTCACGGAGTGTAAGGCTAGCTTCCAGCTTTCCGCTACTTCTCTTTCAAGGTAGTGATGAAACGCATCCGTAGCACTGTGTGTTCGCGTTCGGCTACGGTAGGAATATGACGTCACAACATGGCGACCTTCATAGAAGGGGATTCCCTCGGTTATGGAGCTATTAATGTCTCATTCTAAGGTAATAAAAACATTACGGCTAATTAAGTAAGTTCTTTATACACCACTGAAAACATAGTTATGGATGTCATATTGCATTTCTGTTAATAGATACTCAACTTTGTTACACATTGCACCTTTAAAATAGGATAAGAATGAGCATCAAATAGAATTAACCCAGTGCGCACAGCTCTTAAATGGGCCACACCTTATTTCAACTCGTTATTTACGACAGTAAAAGCACTCCACAACGACTCTAGGGGTCGCTGTTTGACAAAAACGGAATTCCTACATAGTGTACCTTTAAAGTTATGAGTAAATTTGTTGCTAGCCACTCTGAATGGTGTAATAATATAGTATGAATGAGCTATCATATGAATATGCAGTACTGAAAAATACATTTTATTTTCCTGAACCTTTTCAGGCATGTCAGAGAACTATGTAGTGTTCGTCGAGCAGCCCATTAAGATGGATCTGTTCAAGATAGTGACTGGTAAACTAAGAGGGAAATCCCTAAATGAGGGTGTTTACTGGGACCCCAACCAGGAAACCATTTTCCACCTGATTGACAAACAAACTGGAAAGGTGAGACAATAATGATGACAATAGTCTCACAGAGGCAATATGAGGTTATTCTATATTTGTTGTGCTTCATTCGGTTCATTGAAATCTGATAGAGAACATAAATACATTATCAGATTATATTTAAGGAAAAAAAATAATAAAATATTTCTTTGCAGGAGATGCCAGTGAGGTATTACACCAAGGCCTTGTCCACCTTCCATCAGATCAATGCTTTTGAGCAGGATGGATTCCTCATGCTAGACATATGCTGCTCTGACGATGGCCAGGCCATAAACAACTACCTCATCCAAAACCTGCGTCAATCAGGAGAGGCACTGGATGAGGTTATAATCTTCCTTAAACTCTCTTTCTCTGTCTATCTTAATACTACTAATAATTATTGTTATTATAGCATAAATTACTTTCTGTCAGTCCTGTCGCTCTTTCTCTCTCTATCAAATGTCTAACACCTTAGGCCAGCTGTATTATTATTATTATTATTACAAAAACATTGTTAACATTACTACTGCTATTATTAATAGGATTATTAGCAGTAGTAATATGCCATTTATTTATTATTTATTATTATTATTATTACTTAAATGACAGTCTCATTTGTCCTGGCACTCTCTATTTTTCTGTCAGGTGTATAACACCATGTCCCGGCCGCTTCCTCGTCGTTTTGTGCTTCCTCTCAACATCACCAGTGAAACACCACTGGAACAGAATCTCAACACACGGCCTGACAGCACCGCCACAGCTGTCCTCCGAACTAAAAACCAGGTGTTGTCTTTGTGCTGGTTACAATAGCATTATTATGTGCTTGTTTTTTTCTTCACAGTCCTGGAATTTAGTCTATTATTGTATTGTTTGCTTATATTTGCCAGCCTTTCTACTGGCACACACAGCACAATTCAAAAGTCTGTGGTCAGCATTTTTATTTAGCAAGGACACTTACAGTGAATACATTTATAATATTTAGAATTTTCTATTCCTCAAAGAATGTATCATGGTTTCCACCAAAAATATTAAGCAGCACAGCAATTTTAAGAAATGTTTCATATTTAAGAAATTTCATAATAAGATTTATTTTTTTTAACAAATTAGCATGATGATGATGTGACTAAGGACTGGAGTAATGGCTGCTAAAAATCAGCATTTTTACATTTTAAAATATATTTAAAAAATCCATTTTAAATAATTCACAATATTGCTGTTTTACTGTATTTTTGATCAAATAAATGCAGCCCTTGTCGCATAAGAGACTTTTGAACGGTAGTGTAACTACAGTATTAAGTAGAGACCTTCATATTTTTATGTGCTCAAGATAACAGTAATTGATCTACGTCACAAAATGTGCATTTGCGAGTCTTCAGCTCTTTTAGGACTACATAATGTCTCCCTCACAGGTGTTTTGCACGTTTGAGGATCTCCATGGTGAAGACCTGAAAGACTATGGTGGCTTGGAGTTTCCTCATATAAACTATGCCAAATATAACACCAAACCTTATAGATACTACTATGGTTGTGGCTTCCGCCACCTAGTGGGTGACTCCTTAATTAAGATGGATCTAGAGAGCAAAAAGTTCAAGGTGAGATCAAATTAAACTGGGACTATGACTGATACCTACAATGACCAAAAAGTCCACACAAACATAATGACAGTAGTAAAACTTTTCTTGTCAATTTGGCTCACAATGTTAAGAGTGTTTGTGTGTTTGTTTAATGAATTTATTTACAGGTATGGTGCCAACCTGATCTCTACCCATCAGAGCCTGTCTTCATTCCTTCACCCAATGCTGAGGAAGAGGACGATGGAGTCATCCTGTCAGTGATCATCACACCAGCTAAGGTACCCTGAATGTGTAAAAACAACAAAAAACAAACAAACAAACAAACATAAGCTCTATACATCACCTGTTCAGAAATTGAAATGTGTTATGAAAAGACAGTTGAGAAATAAAATTACATTTGTTCTAAACTGAGTCTAAACCCTCTGTTCTCTTGGCAGGATAAGAGTACATTTCTCTTAGTCCTAGATGCCAAAACATTTGAAGAACTGGGAAGAGCTGAAGTGCCTGTCAACATTCCTTATGGATTCCATGGAGTCTTCAATTCCAGTGCATGAAGCTCTTGGTATCCCTCCAACAAAATAACATCTAATGACAAGTAGCTCTTCAAAATGCCTAATACACCACTCAGCTGCTATTGAAAGCAAGAGACTAACAGAATTATATTTCTATGAAATGAGTCCAAAGACATCCTCCACAACACATTTTATAGTAACAGTTAGGTAACATTGTTACAATGAGGTTTCATTAGTTAAAATTAGTTAACAGGAACTGCACTTCTACAGCATTTATTAAAGGTAAAGGCGCTGCTGACGTGTATCTGGTGCATCCGTGTATTTGGGTTCAAATAAATACAGTATGGCTGGGCAAAAAATTGCAAGCTCGGGCACACCAGATAACGCGCCAACAGCGTCTTGCGTCACCAGCATCACTGTGGGCTGGTGAACTGGGACACTGGGTCTGTATTCACAGAAAAAAAAAAATCAAGACACCACTGTGTAACAAAGTGCAAAAAGTGCATATTTTATTTACAGCCTTAGCACTGTGCCTGAGCATTTTTTGTTGTTATTCTTTCATGTATATCTTCTGAACATGATATGGAAAAACTAAATAAATATAATAATAAAATATAATATCCATAATAATATATAATATCCAAATAGCTTCTCCAAACTAATGTTCTTTTTATATGACACTTAACCGGTGAAGCCTGAATCCATGGGCTTTATTCGTGCCCAGGAGAGGTGCAACATGACAGGCATGCTCTTTAGGAAAAATTAGCCCGTCTTTTCCTGGAGGTTTTATGATTTTCAGACACACAACCAAAAATGTGATGTCCACGCATGTGGATACTAGGTCTGAGGAGGTTAATAAACATAATTGTGAACCACAAGAGAGAAATACTTGACCCTAATAATTTCAGCATGATAAAATGGTTTTGATTTGTTTTCTCAATACAATTTCAGTCTTTCTCAACTTTTCTTTTCTTGTGTTTTTATTTTTCAAATAGTGGACTGTATGTGTATACCACAATATGACACTTTGATGTTTGCAACGAATTATATTTGCTCAAAGTTATGAACTGTGTGTTTCATACAAGGCTGTTCCTTTCTACTCTAAAAGCAAATGTGAGCAAAACGCCTGGTCTGCTATGGTTAATATTTGCTGTTAGAATTTTTATATTTCCATCAAGAAAACAAGTACATTGCATTGAATGTAATTCCCAAGACATAAAAAGCCCATAAGTTCCAATAAATGCATTAATTATTTGTTTAAATGACAACAGATTACAGTATCACCATACAGCATTTGTCATTGTATGCAACTTCATACCTTTCTTTTACCCTCATTTTAAAGACCGTTTTTATTTTATTATGCCTTTTACTTTTTATGTTTTAAATTTGTTTCATTATGTAAATACCATATATAACATACTGTATTATATTATGGGTTTTTTTGTTTTTTTACACATTTCTAATTTGTAACTTGATCACAATTATTGTAATAATATTTTCACAGTACTTTATCTGCTGCATGGCTTAGTTATAGTCCACTTTTATAAAATTTACAAAGCAAGCAAAATGAAAGTGTCCAGGTTTTTCCACATCATTTCACATTCTAATACACGTTTGTTAAGGTAATCTTGACGACATAGTCTATACAAGTCTATACTTTTCTTGTCCACTAGGAAGCAGCAAACACTCATAGCAGGTATGCCCGAGTTAAGTCATAAACCTGATGTAAAAACAACCTATACATTCATTCTGCAACAAAATCTGAAATGCTTTCATTAACCAATAGTGCATTCATTCAGTTCATACGGAGACATGTGTGCAACGTGTGAGTGTATGTGCTTTTGCATGTGAATATCTCCGTGGCTCGGCTAAATTGGGAGCTTCTCAGATTTCCCCTAATCCCTGCACATCAAACAGCAGGCAGAGCGGAGCAGATGCAGGCAGACAGAGGCACTGCTCTCCTGTGGTATCTCGACCTGCCGGATCTTCTTTCCCCGTACACAGTGCTGTTATTGTCCCTGTATCTGTATGTGTGTTTGTGTGAGAGACACAGCATGGGTTGTTTGTCCCTGTGTCCCATCCCTCTCTTTTTGGGTTTAAACACTGTTCTAATTGCTATCAAGCAGAGACACCGATGCTACACATCCACACTTCAACTTTTGTTCCATAGACCAATGCCTCCAATGTTGGTGTGGTGGTTCTTTATTGGCATTGATAGATCCATAAAGTACCTTTAACGTACCTGGAACATTTCCACCTCACAAAAGGTACACTTTAAATTGGAAAAGATCCTTCGGATAAGAAAATAAAATGGTTCTTTTAAGAATTGTTCTCTGAAAGGCTCTTTGGGAAACCTTCCTTTTATTTTTAAGAGTGTAAGAAAAATTAATTCATATTGGAGAAATGAGCGAGTGAGTAAATAAATGAATGATCGAAAGCAGCGGTGGGTACCAGGTAGTGGTCACAACAAAGACAGCTGTGTATATATGTGTGTGCGCTCGCCTTTCTGCCCTGCAAATCCCACTCAGACACCTGCACTCAAAGCTTCCGCTGCTGAACCTCCACTTCAAACAACTACCGACACATTGAGCGGAAACAAATATCTACGAAGAAGGGAACAAAGGACTGAGAAAGAAAGTAAAGAATTCCAGCTAAACTTTCCTGATGCAAATAACTTTGATCATACAACACTGTGTTTGATTTTCAAAAAGTAATCACTGCAGGCACAAGTACTGAAATGTCTTTATGTGCAGCTTTGATGGCTCACAGAATGTTGCTGAAATAAAAGGAATTAATTTACATGTGTATCATTACAGAGCATGTGAATTCATGCTAAAATGACCTCCATCTGACTAGATGTCACAGACCAAAACACCAGATGTGAAGTTCCAGATCACTCTACAGGTCTAGTGTTGCTTTAGTGATCCAGAATGAAGCTGCAGTCCATAAACTGAAGACAGTAAAATAACTGTTTTCTATTTTAATTTATTTCTGTAATGGCAAAGCTGAATTTTCAACATCATTTCGCCAGTCTTCAGTGTCACATGACCCTTCAGAAATAATTCTAATATGCTCAAGAAACAGTTATTATTATGATGATGATTCACAATACGTGTGAAGTAATTATTGTAGCCTACTATATGTGTTTTCATAAGCCAATGTTATAAAACATCTAGCAGGGGGTCTGCTTCATCTCTCATATCCACCAAGGGCTCTTTGGCCAAAAAAAGGTTGAAGACTAAAGATTACAGAACAATGTCTCTGTCCATTTCTATGTCTTACATTTTGAGCTGAAGCACATAGTGTGTTTGTGACTTAATTTCTTGGAAAGAGTGTACCTGTTTTTTTCCATTTTGTAGACAAATGTCTTTGAAAGCGCAATAACATGGTCTAATGCCACACCAAACCTGAGGTAATAGCCACCAGTAGTGAAAATAGATGTAACAAATTGTTTTTCCACAAAAACATCTATGAAGTATACAATGCATAACATACGTCCTTGCTAGACATGTTAACAACACACCGCTGCTTGTACATATGGTTACCATAACAACTAGACATTCCAGAAAATAAACATTTAAACCTATATTTGTGACTTATTGTAGGACTTATTGTATTTTAGTTCTGTAAAGAAACGTGCTTGAAACACACCAAAGTCAAGCAAGCATGTCAATATATATATATATATATATATATATATATATATATATATATATAACCAGAAACTGAATATTGCAGCATCAACACTTAGAAATGGCAATACAAAAAGACTTCTTTGAAAAAATTCTCATGCAATAAGACGGCAACATAGACTCCAATGTTACCATTGTTTAATCAATACATTTTACTCCCAGACTTATTTTAACCCATAAAACATGGCTAACATATTAATCAGGTCTTATAGTGTGCCCCTTTCTCTCTCTCTCTCCCTTTCTCTCTCTCTCTGATTCCAGAGCTCTATGATTGGATAATGGAGCTACTCGTAGCCAATAAGAGAGGACAGCACCTTTTTTTCTCCTAGCAACAACAGTGACTGTTTCCTTTCAGCACGACAAACTACTACAATACGAATAATGGCAACTGCACTGCTTTACGGAGGAGAATTTCTCTCTTTTCTGCCATTCGGCTCTGTATTTTAACCTCTGTTGGTTCCTCTCTGATTCCCGCTCTTTCTCGGTCATCCTCTTATTTCTTGCCCCTCATCTTTGGATTCTTCCTATCACTCATCTCTCACACACTCTTTCTCCTCTTTTTTTACATTACCTTCGTTTCACTCTGTCTGCATCCTGCCCACTCCTCTCCTCAACTCTTACCCCACCCCACCCCCCACCTCTCCCTCTCTCTTGGCTGACTGTATGTCTCTGGTAGGGGCACACAGCCGGCTCCTGTTTCATGCTCTTAAAGGAGCAGCATGTTTTTCGTTTCACTGAAGGACTATGCTGAGGGATTCTGGGTAACAGCATGCACTCGCTGACCCTGGGAGAGGTTCTGCAGGCAGTCGCTGTGGAGCAAACATCCCGCCAAACTCTCTCTCTCTCTCTCTCACACACACACACACCTAAAACTGCACACTGCCTGGAACACAAAATGTATAATCATGAACCTAAATCAGATATACAACAGTGCAAAAAAAAAAACGTATTGGTAAATTAAAAATGTATCAATTGCCTTATTTAAACTATAAAAATGTCAGACGAAATACGAAACAAATGATCATAGACCAACTTTTCCTTTTACTTTTAAAACTTCAAAAGGTGACCAAATATAAAATATGTATTTTTGAATCTAACAAACACAAAGCTAACAAAAAAATAAATAAAATTCTGTGTGCATGTATTAGTCCCTCTAAAAGTCAATTGTGTTACAACAAAAACATAATTTTTAAATTAACATTTATGTTTCAAGATGATGTTTTCCAATTAAAGAAGAGAATCAACTAGTTACAGTAGGTGATACCAACTCTTTAATTTAACATCTATTAACCTGATCACAAATCAAAATATAATGCAGTAATGAAACATTGATTTTTCTACCTCAAAATGAGTTTTTGTCCTTGTATTGTATAAGTGCTATATAGAAATAAAAACGACTTAACTTGACTTAAATCTTTTAGATTTTCATGGAAACTTTCACTTCAGGTGGATAATGGTCATGTATGATAGTAATTTCACATGTTTCTAATGTTAAACTGATGATTATGCAAGTCCCTTCAACAGAAATTGTATGGATCTCCTCACAAAAATTAAACTGTTAAGTTTGAAAAAACTTAACTCTTAAAAAACGTATGTCTTCTGTTAAAAGGTTAGTTCAGGAAAAATAGAAAAATCTGTCATTACTCACCCTCATATCATTCAAAACCCGTGAAAATTTTGTTCAACTTTAGAACACAAATGAAGATCTTTTTTGATTTATGTCCCTCCATTGACAGCTACACAACTGAAACTTTGAAACGCTTCAAAAAGTTAATAAAGAGATCATAAAACTAATCCATATGAATTGAGCAGTTTAGTCCAAATTTTCAGAAAAGACTTGATTGCTTTATATGAACAGATTTAATTTAGTCTTAAATGTAAACTTGATCAGCAACTTGCTTAACACATTAGAATGAACCTCATTGGTTTTTGCAGAAGCTCAAACGTGCTGCTTAACACACGACAATGAACCTCAGAGGTTCTTGCAGAAGTTCAAACGTTCTGCTTAACACACAAGAATGAACCTCAATGGTTCTTGCTTAAGCTCAAATGTTACGCTTAACACATGATTTCCATTTCACGAGAGTAGATGCTAAAACTTCATGCTGATTTGTACTAAGCTTTCGCCAAGATAAGCAAAACCAAGATGTAACTTTACAGTAAACTCTTCATATGGTGGTGTGACTCCCCTTCTGTCCGGCGTTATTGGCTGCAGTTTACTTGGCGCGTCAGCACACACGACGGCTGCAACTATAGTGTGGTCTCCCTAGTGGACCAGCACGACAACCGTCTGGATTGAGCCGAGTAGGGGACATCTCTAGGGTCTTCAAGTGGGCACCTTCGCTCCTCAGTGTTTCGTCGACTAGCCCACGACACCTCAAGAGGGCTCGACAGTGACTCTGGTGTCCCAGAGTCACCCCCCTCTGTCCCCCACTCAACTCAGCCCAGCTTACTGACCTCTACATCCCTCCTGCTGCTGCGACCTAACCACAATCTCTCTTCAACCCAACCATACGCGCCAACCCGTTTGACTAAGGCTGTCAAGTCCCACTGGTGCGTTAATGCAGTTTCAGTGGCAACAGTTCCGT